TGGCGGGGAAGCCACGGCGGTGAAGCAGCGTCGCCCGCGTTTAACCACAAACCCGTTCATAGGGCTGCTCACATTCACACAATCACACACACAAAGGAGAAAGGACATAGAACACACAGAGAGAAAGAAACATCCATACTCTTAGCGGGATTCGAATTCGCAACCATTGGCTTCGCAGTCAGGCACGCTAACCACTCGGCCACCTGGTCGGCATGAAATGAATATATAACTGTATACCTCATACTTCTCTAAAAATTTAGAATAACTGCTTTATTGATTTTTTTTTTTTTTTTTACTCAAAAAGTTTGGAAAGAAAACCAATTTTAATGAAATGTAGCTATAACTTAAAATTTAACAAAGAAGTTTCAGTTCTCTGAAGCTGTATGAAAGAGAATAATTTTTTTCTTTTTGTTTTAAAAAACTTACTTTAATTACCTTTTTTTCAATTTTGATGCAAGAATGTATGCATTTAATTAAATATTTAAATTTACAGATATTACTTCATACAAACGTATCCTCCCTGCACGAATACTTTCCTCCAAGCATGTTGCCAAAAGAGTATGGTGGTGTTATACCTGTCAGTCAGATGACTGGTAAGTTATTGAAAAATTATCTTCATTTGAAATAACCATAAATCACAAACGTTTTGTTTAATTTGCGAATTTAATTTAACAAAAATATTTTTAAGGCTATATTTTTAAATAAAGTTATAGCAGGTATTTTTGAAGCTCTGTCTTTACTTTTATATTTGTGTTTAACATATTTAAAGAATGGTTATAATATGTATTAGAATCTTCAGAATCTCTTTTTTTAAATGGAGTGGAAAGAGTATATACATTAGGGGTTATAAATTAGTATTCAAATGAGAAGAAATCAGACATTTTATTTAATAATACTGATATAATACTATTTATTAATACTGAATATGGTGGGACTGAAAATAGAACTTGATTAAATGCTGGTGAAAACAAAAAGAAGTGGAAAGTAATATCTTTAAAAATACATACGAGTTTCGCCGAAGAATCAAACCGATTTCAGTGTTTTCAGCCCCGTTTTCACCAATATTAATTCTTTAGATTTCGATAACGTTTTTATTTTTCTTCCCGCTTATATATTGATTTGATGTTTAATGGAGATACTTTTTATTTCAGTTTTGAAAAGAGTCCTCAAAGCATAAATTATAAGGGTGGTCCTGTAGTGTTTCCAAAAAGAAGCAAAATAACAAATTATAAAACATCAAACGCGTGTAGATGATATTACTCCAGGCTTGTACCGACCACAGTGCAAGCCTGTTGGAAGATTATATTCCTAGTGATAGAAAGATCTTGAGTGACAATTGCCTGTCTGTCAGGCTAACTGTGTAAAATTTTCGTTGTTTTTTTCCCCTGCAACAGAAATGTTAGTTACATTAAAAATTCTTTCACAACGACGAGTTTGTACAAACGCTTGATGCAGAAATTTCCTTGTATTCTTTCTCAAAATTGCAATAAGTTGAACCATTAACCCAAAATGGATCGGTTGTCCAGCGCCAATTATATAACAAAATATAAAAAAAAAACTTGCAATGAAGTTCTCGACTTAAGACTTTTGCTGCTTACCATCATAATATGTGTCCAATAAGACAAATATGTGCCCTATGTTCATCAAATTTTTCGTGGCCTTAACTAAATATTGTAAAATTTACTTTCTGATGAATACAGTTTTAGCATGGAAAAAATGCCTATTGACTTGTACAATTTGCTTGAGCTCTTTTTTACATCTAATTACTTTTAGCAAAGTTTTTTTTTTCTAAGGGGAAACATTTTTCGAAATTTTAAAAGCAAAGAATGAAAAACTTCTTTCATTTTTCAGATTTGCAACGAAAAACCTAATAATAACTAATGAGGTAATTTTATCTGGATGAATTGTACCTGGCAATTGTATCATGAGTCATCAGAATACTGCGTGAAAACCATTTTTTTAAAAATTTTTTGTTAAACTTACTTTTCAGAGTTGCATTTTTACTGAAAGTGTGGATAATTAGAATTTTAATTTTAAAAACCAGAATTTCCGAAAAACGTTTACCATAACCATATTGTAGATTTTGGTGTTTATTACCAGAGTTTCCATATATTTATTTTTATTCGAAATATCCTTACGAGACAAAAATAATTTTTTTCTTTATGCACTTACACATTTTCTTCATTCCTTAAAGCATTTTTGATATCTAAATTTTTGAGAGCTGAAATGATATTTGTTTTCTTTTTCAGCAAGATGGATTGAAATATTGGATTCTAAAAGAGATCGAATCTTGGCATTGGACGAAATGAAAGTGGATGAAAGATTAAGACCAAAAGGAAAACACTCGAATCATATCATACCACGTTTGATGAGCAACTTGAGTAAACTGGAAATATATTGAAGAGATATTCCATTGTGTCATTTTATTAAATGTAATAACAAAGCCAATCCAATATTTTGTTGAAAATATTACTAATACAATTTTTACTTGTACAGGGATCAAAATTTAATCTTTTATAACTGGCCCATTACTCTTTGATTAAAATCATTTTTTATAAGTATTTCAGAGTTTCATATCTTTAACATTATTTTTAAATATTTTAATACATTGTAAGATAGCCTTTTTTTAAAACCATGAGAAATATATTTTTTAAATAAAATGTTGAAAATAGTTCAATGTTTAAAAAAATTATTTCAGTGTTGGTACTTTAAAGCATATTATGAGGTACAAATTAATTACAGCCATACTAAAGTTTCAAGTTTAAATAAATTTCAGTTCGAGTTGAAACAAAGCATTGTTTTATCAAGTTTATGCTGTACTATAGGGATTCCATACAATTTCCCTTAAAATAAGAGGGGAGGGGTAGAATCCATCTGGAAAATATGGTCCCAACAGTTTAGACAGAAGAGCAGACGGAAGTTTGGCACCTTGAAGTTAATTTCACATTTTGTATATTTCGCCATCTCAAAGAAGTCGTCATTTTAGATTTTTGTTTTTCAAAGACTATTCGACCGATTCCCTTTTAATTTTAGATTTCATGACATAAAATTACCTAGCTTAAATTGGTGAAAAAATTTGTACCTTACAATTCAAAATGTTTTCTAAAACTATAAATTATTAGATCATCAAAGATTATATTTGTAGATTTGACATGTTATTTTTAATAGCTTACTATTTTTCACCGGCTATATATTTTATAGATTTTCTTATCTTTTGTTGAAAAGTTACATATCTGACCTGCTTAAAAAAAATTATCGTAAGCTCTAAGAAATATTAAAAACATTTTTTTTTATTGAAAAAGAAATTATCGAAAATTCGCATAATTATAAGTGTGTGAGTTCTTGCGATTATGAAAGTTGGAGTTCTTATTTTGAGCACTGTATAGTCTATTTTGATTACACGAGATAAGCATATTTCGTTCCAGCTTTTCCAAAATAAATAAATACAATAGAATAGTAATTCAAGGCTGTCTAAAGATTAACTGAAAAAAGTATAATCACTAAACATACGTTTTAAGTTTTAAAAAAAGGTATAACATTGTATTTTAATGGAGAAATTACCGATCCAAGCCGCCGTTGTTAAACAATAGAAACTGTACTAATTTTTTACACCTATATTACGTTTGTTGCCGATAAGATAAATAAATTACTTTATTCCCTCGCCATGTACATTTTTGTTATACTACTTCTGAGTTGCTTTGAAATCAAATTAATTATTTCAAAAATGTCTTTAAAAGAAAGTAATTTAAAACAATCCAATTGTAAAAGAGGGTACTTAAATTTATTTTAAGATTTTTCAAAAAAAATCTTATCATAAAATAAGCATTTACGTTAATTAAAAGAAAGGTTTTTAAGAAATCAAGCAGAGTTGTGCATTTAACTTTTGATTTTGCTGACATTTTCAAGATATGATCTTTATGTAAAACTATTAGACACATGTTTTCTTTTTCAATATATTTTTGCGGAAAATAAATTTAAAAAAAAAATTTTTTTTGGCGGGTGAGGGGGTTAAAATTGAAGATCTTCCGGAATTTTACGAAAAACAAATCCATTTACAAATGGCAATATTTTTTGTGAAGCATATATGCTACATATTCTTGACACAGATTAAATTATACAATAAATATTAAAATTCGTTAGATTTTTCTTATTTTATAAGTCTAAAAATATATATCCCATTGTCTGTATCTTCTAAATAAAGTTATATTTATTTTTTTATTTTTCCTCTCATAAAATTTTAAACTCTAATAAAATGCGGTTGATCTATTCAATAATATTTTCATCCCTGTGATAAAACATCTTATATCAATTTCTTATATTTTATTTCAAGAATATGCATTGTTGATTATTGAAAGGCGCTTTCCTTTGATACGTTTCAAAGTATCATTTTTAAAAAATCAAAAAAAAAGTGATCCATTATCGACTGAAAGTGAAACTGACTGGTTGAATCCAGCTGAAAAGGCTCTTGTTTTCATTGTTTATTGATTCTGTTGCTCCTGATATGCGTTGTTAACATTATTTCCGTCACAGATACTTTTCATTTACGTTAAATAATTTTTATTATCAGAAATAATCAGATAAAAGCTTTGTGAAAAATAGTTTTGAAAACTCTTTACTCAATCAATTATTCAAATACAATACACACAATAAAACTTTAATATTAATAAAAATATTAAAGTAAAATTTTATTTTTTGTTTTTACATTTATCTCCCTAGATATTTTCGCTCATAAAATAAATACTTCACAAAAAGAGTGAATATAATTAAGAATATAATTACTAGAAGAAGAGTATGATTCTTGTATCTTTTCTAAATGCATCATTTTAATGCTGTGAATATTTTATTTCCTTATGACAGTGTGATAGACATTTTTGTTATCTATCTGAAGTAATTCATAGTTTACTTAACTTTTTCACGACCACTGAGGATAAGAACCCAGGGGTCCCATCCCTCGTACTTCATTCAATGAAATGCAAAGGAGTTTCAAAATGTGTGATATTAAATGTAAAGTAGTACGGAACGTCAAAATAAATAGTCGTGTAAATAATTTCCTTGAAATGTTTGCTAAATTCTTTGTCAATTAAAGCATTTTATTTTATAAGCTAAAAGAAGTTGGACATTTATTATTTTAACTTTTATTTGAATAAAAAAATTAATCTAAATTTCTGTCTGTATATCGGAATGAATGATTCAGTGCGGACGTTCCAATAGGCTTTCAAATAACATTGCTTCTATGGAATAGCAAAGGGAACTTTAATTTAATGTATTGGTCGATATAATGGAAGGGTCGTTGTACTGGGGAGCCACACTAAAGAGTGTATACTATACTAATAATGTGGATCAACAAGTCCTCATCTGATACCCTTTTCTAGGGTTTCGTCTTTTTTGCTTTTACGGCAAGGATATAATCAAACTTCATATGGAATATAATTGATGTCTTAATCATATACTGCAGCCTGCGTATATGATGAAGACATCAATTATTGAATTCTAATTCGTTGGAATATCTAGGGGCAGATTGTGTGAAAACCTATGAAATAAAAGGATTCAACCCTCTTTGAAATACATTTGTGAGTTTAAAAAAATATTCACAGAAAATTTACTGGGCATTTCGTTTGAAAGCAGAAAATAAAAATATATATTTCTTTTCTGTTCTCAATATACAAAATTCAAGCACGCGAAAACACTTCTAGATTGCTAAAAAAAAGTAAGAACCATTTTTTAAAATCTTTTTTTAAAAAAAGAATTATTTTTCTCATTCTTAATAATCGTTAAGATATTAATAACCTTTTTTCGTAAAGTGCTCAGTGATCAAATTGTCAAAATGAGCAACAATAATTGTGCACAAACGTTTGGAAACGAAATATTTCTTAATCACTTTTAAAGATATAGATTCTTTTTTTTTACGCTTCAGATCAAGAGTAGATGTTGAAACAGTGTTTCCAACTTGCTAAATGATGGGAAAATCGACTAAGTGGTCACTTTATTATGATCCCCTTACAATTTTATGCATTGAAATGATTTACTGCTTCCCAATGTGGCAGGTAGAAGGTTGCTTTAGTACTGGCATACTTTAAGACCTTTATTTCACACTAAATTTCCGATCAAATTACGGTATAAAGTGCCGGCCCTTTGGGTACATCATCCATAAAATCCATTTTTACCCTAAGATCCATTTTTACAGCAAAATCCCTTTCCACCATAAAATATTATATTTTTATAGTAATAATTTAAAATAATATAGTATAATTTTCATAGTAATATTTATTCAATTCGAGTGATACAGTGATTTCACGGTAATTATTACTATAAAAGTTATGGTGTATCAGATTTTTTGTTCCGTAACATATTCCGGTAAAAATAGATTTTACTGTAAAAAGTACAGACACCCTGCTTGCCGATACTTTTTACCGTAATTTGATTCGGAGTTTTTTGCAGTGTAGTCCGAATAAGACATCGTATCTTAAGATTGTTGCTTACGGAGCAAGCACACTCTGTAATACTATTTATAAATCCCTATGTCGATGGGGTACTCTTTACATAATAATACATGCTGCCATACTGTAAAAATTCCGAATCAAATTACGTTAAAAAGCACTGACATCCTGAGTACATCATCCGTGAAATCCATGTCGCCATAAAATATATTTTTTCTTTAGAAATTTACGGCATAATTTTTATAGTAATATTTATTTGGTTACAGTGATTTTACAGTATATACTGCTGTTAAATTTACGATATATCAGTATTTTTTCCGTAAAACTTCACGGTATAAATGGATTTTACTGTAAAAAGTACCGGCATCTTGAATTCCGGTACTTTTTACCGTGAATTGAATCGTAATTTTTTACCGTGCATAGAACTGTTAAATAAAAATATATTTATGAGGATTATGATGGAGACTTGACTTAACGTCATTCTCTCAATCCCTAGAAACCTATTGTATATTATGGAATTAAATTTAAAGAGCCAACAGTCATCTAGATCTGCAACCATCCAGCCTTATACTCTACTGGAAAGTGCTACGAATGTGTCAGCAACATCAAAGACTCTATGCCAAGAGAAATCAAGACTTCAAAGAAAAAGTTGGCCATACGAAAAAGTGGCCATACGAATGGTCATAATAAAGTGGTATCCAGTAAATTATGATCATAGAACAGTCTTCAGCGTTCTCTGAGCAGATTCGGAAGTTATTTTCAATTTAGCACTTAATTATTTTTAATTTAGCATATGTATTATTAAAACTTGCATTTGTTAATAATAATGCAACACGCTTATATTTATTAAATTGCCGTGAGGTATTTTTTTGTATTTACGTAAATAAGATTTTCTAATAAAAATTATTGTAATTTCTTGAATTTAATTACATATTTGCTGGTTATTACTGGTTTTGAATATTTACTGGAGCACTGGTTATTAAAGCCAATGTTAGCAAATGTCACCTGAGAAGAATCTTATTGCTTTTTTCAACTTGCGCGCATTTAGTTTCTTTTTCCCCTTTCAAATAAATTCAAAACATGCAGAAAAATAAACAAAAATAAATATGCAAATAGTTTTTATTAATAATTTAGTAGTAAAAAGTCTTTTTTTTTAATATTTACAATAGTCTCGATCCTTAACTAGCCTAACCTAACTAGTTTCACATTTCATATCATTTTTATTTATTCCACTTGTCATTAAATAAGTGTTGATAATAGGGTGACATTAGTGAAATTGATATAGTACTTTTCTATGTACATGATTGTGATTTAAGTTGCCTCGAGCAAATGTTCAGTATTTTGATTGCATCGAATGCCTTAAGATAATGAAAAACACAATTATTGAATAGTAAAAATAAACATTATCTAAACTACAAAATAGACATTTATCACTGGATGATGTAAATCTGATTATTTCTCTGAAAAAGGTAATTGTTTTAGCATCGTGTGTTTTTAATAATCCCTCAGGGTGGATTATTTAATACGAAGTTAATTATCTTCAAGTTTAACTTCTTACCATTTAAATAATTGTTTGTGAGGGGAAGTGTTTTAAATTGTTTTGAATGCATAATTCATGTTAGCTCTTTTAGAAGGTAATTTTCAGCCTGAAAAATAGTAGGAAAATGTACATCTAGTTGTAAACAATTTGAAATTATGGTCATAAAAATTAAATATCTCAATCTAGCAGTTTAAAATTTCCTTTATTCAGAAAACGAAAATTCATTTTATTTCTGATTAATAGTTTATCCCATTTTGTTTATTTATTTCTTATTTCGTTAATTGATTAAATAAAAAATATTTGCTTGTTCACACTTTTGATTTATTCTCTGGTTCAGTTTCAACGTAAAATTGTTTTAATTAATTCTTAGTTCTTTATAAAAATGATCTAAATTAGGAAAATACTAGCAATGCAATTGAAAATTTTTTTTAATTTCAAAGATGAAAGTTAAGACAAATTACGGTGGATTTCCCCGATAAATTTAGCAATAATGATTAGTAATATGGGGAGAATATGATCTATTACAAAAAGTGCCATAAAGAGGAAATTATTACCGGAAACAAATTAATAAATTTTGAACTAATAATAAGAAATGTACAGTAAAACAAATTTTAAATGATAAAACATAAAACTTGAAATTATTTTGTTGAATAAATAGTTCTTTAGAAATACGCAAGGAAAAAAATTCTGGTAAAATTCATGTTATAAATAGTAGCAACAATTCTAATAAAAAAAATCTTTAAAAAACATAATTCCGGCTAATAAAACCAAAATATACGGTATTTAAACCATTTAGTTGGTAAATTTTCCATTCATATGCAGGAAATTTTGGTTTTCAAAAATCTAATTCATATTACCACATATTTAGTAAAACTTACAACACGGAAAGTAAATTTTACCGAATAAATGGTTCTTATGCCATGTTAAAATTACCAAATTTAAGCCACATGTACGAAATTTTATCGCATATTGTTAAATTATATTCTATAGTTAATTTTACAAAAATCATTACCAAAGCGTTTCGGTAAAACTTATCGTGATTATAATTCGGTGAATATTTCCATAGAGCCAGAAACATGATAAATTTTACCATATTCCGGTAGTTTTGATCATACTTTTTTCTTATTGCAGAATTTTAAAAATATGATTTTTTTAATACTTTTACAACTTCAGAAACTATTCAACCCCTTTCGCTCAAAGCTTGGATTTTGTCATTTCAAATTGCGTAGTTTAATATGATGTAAAAATTTATCTACTTTACTATTCAATATTTTTTCGATCTTTATGAAATAAAGTAATCAAAAATCATTAAAAACTATCTTTTGCATGAAATTTTCTTTGAATAAACGAATTCAATAGTAGTGTGCTAAAAATTTTTCGATTCACTTAAGATCATTCCGAGATATTGCTAAATGCGCAGAAGTAATATTACATTAATAGGCTCAAAAGTTTAATAACCCTCCAGTCAAAACTGTTGGAACCATATTTTCGAGGCTAACCCTCATATTTTGATTGTTACAAATCCATATCCGTTGGAAAAAAGGCAAGACATCTTTATTCAGAGAAAGTACTTTTTTATGTCTGTTTCTATAACTTTCTGATAGTTAGCCCTAGTTAACTGACATAGTTGAGGTTGCTCCTTTGAAACATTAAGATTGACACTTAGTTTGTGAAAATTTTATGATTGGAACAGAAGTTGTTTAATGTGATATATTTTTGTATTTTGCGCCCTTTACAAAGCCTAAATCAAAATAAACCTTGGCTTGCGTTAATTATTTTTTATATTAGAGGAACAATACATTATTATTCACAATAAAAGCTAAAATATTTCGGCTCGAAAGACTTATTACTTTACCATTTAAGAAAAATAAAATTTCAGAATGGAAAAAATGTTGTCATTATCTTGACATTAAAAATACAGGGTGAGCATGCAATAAATTTTTAAACATATTACCATCTGGTGAATATTCTGCTTTAGAAATAAGTTTATAAAAATAAAATTTCACACAGGAAATAAAACTTATATCTGAGTACTATACAGTTTACACTCAAGAATTGTGTTAAGATTTTTCATCCAACTCTCAAGAGTTAAAGAGATTGAATTAAGTTACAGAGACTGAATTTTTAAATTTTTAAACAACAACTACTCTTTCTTTCTGAAACGTAATCCTCAAAGTAAAACTCTAGGAAACGAAACTGAGTAAACAAATTGTGTTGACACTTCACAGAGACAAGCAAAGCACGATGTAGCATACAAATTTCTTTGTTTTCTTTTTTCTTTCTGTTGTTTTCGGAGTGCGTTCTGTACAGCTGAAAGGCTAGCACGTTAAAAACATATAAAATACTATTTTCCTTGCCTCTGTCTAGCTCCGTTATTTTTCATTATTGAAACACTGTTCCAATTCTCATAAGTTTACTAATGCTGGAATTAATTTTCTATAAAAAAGTATCGGTTGTCATTGTTGGTTACCAACTTAAAATGCCTGATTCATATAAAATAGTATACATTGTTTCATAAAATAAATTTAAGAATATAAATGAGAAATAGCAACGATCAAGCAAAATTGCAGTGAAAAGATGTAATATGAAAATAATAATAATTAAAAATCGATAAGAAATCCACGGCATAAAAAATATGTAGAAGGAAAACATTTTCTCATTTGCCTGACGCGATCTACTTACATTTAAATTTGTAGTTATGAAAAATTTACAAAGATCAAAAGTTTAACTCAATAACTAATGATAAGAGCAGGTGAAAAAAATGTAAGCGAAGAAACTATAATCAAAGTACTGGCACATTCGTTTGTAGTACCCCGTTTTTTAAACTAGATAATTAATATGTGCCTTGTCTTACTTCCTGAACTACATTCCAGGCAACTCTATTTTACTCTTTTTTCGTACTCTAAGTGACTCTTATATTTCTTTTATTTTCAAAATGTTGTAAAACAATTTAAACCGATAATGACAGTTTTTCATTTATTGTTATTATTATTCATTTAAGTGGATACCCAATTAAAACAGAAATCATTAAGAGGCTTGGTCATTCTAAAAGAGGGAAAAATAAGCTCATTTTGAGAATATTTTTCAAAAAGATAACGTAACAAATTAAAATTCTGAAAAAGTAAGCAACTAATGAATTGTAAAAATAAATTTTTCTAAGAGGATATGAATCAAAATGGTGGCTGTGCAACTTTCCTTCCTAAGGGATATAAGACCAATTCAAAATACCAGCTCTTTTTAAGCAAGTATGAAAATATTAGATTTTTGCAAGAATGACACCTTTCTTCGTTCGATCTTTATCAAGACATAAGAAATTACTGATAATTTAATACGGAGACTTAATAATTTTAAGAAATAAAGTAAATAAGACTTAGTAAATTACTTCTTGATTTTTAGATGTTAAGCTTTTTCCGGCTCCTAAAATCCCGGGGGACGCTAGATTATAGTGAAACCCATTGAAACTCGATTGGGGAAAGACTACCCAACTATGTCATCGATAGGCCAAATATTCTACCCACCACACCGCTTAGGCGGCTACTTCCTTATGAAAAAAATAGCAATACATTGAAACATCATAAAGAAATTCCCTTTAGAGAAATGAACAGAGAAAGATTTATAATTTCAGTAATTCTGATAGCGAGAAACTCTGTTATATGCTTTTGAAAAGAACTTATATTTCAAGTAATTCTGTGAGTGAGAAACTCTGTTGTATGTATCTGAGCAAGAACTTATGTAGATAAACAGAAGTTCTTGTTTTGTCAAAATTTTTCACTTAAATATTTTACACTATGTACAATCAAATCAAATAGTCCTACATACTTTGGTAGTTTCGAAATTTTAAATACGCAGTGTTTAAATAAAAAATCAATTAATAAGTCAACTAGTTTGACTAATATGTAAAATATTGCTAAATGCTTTTTAAATTTTCTGGACACATACAGTAGCCTGAGATTAGTTGCAAAAAAAAATCCAAGGTTTGTGTGATAGTAGTTTTATCACATAAATAAAATTAAAAATTCAAATAATTTTATCATTTTGTCTTGTTATAAGGAAGTAAAGTTCCTAAATATTTCACGAAACTCGAAACAAATTAGTGTAATCAAACAATGATAGAGTTTCAGTAAAATCGCCTCATAAAACTGATTAAAAAAATCAGAACTTGCAATCAAAGATAGATAGTTTTAATTTCTTTGTTGATATCTGAA